CGACCCCTGGTACGACCCTCCCGACATTATCACACCTTTAGGCTCTGGGGGTATGACGGGGCGCGCTGTGATTCGCCCAAATTTAACACCGAACTTCATTTGGCTTGCTGCGGGTCAATGGCTGCGGACCGCACGACCCTCGCACCGGGGGGGACACGTGGCTCCAATCGGGCGGCTAAAATTAAGGCCGAAGTCCGCTTGGTTTGCTTACCAAGCGGACTTCGGCCTTATTGAACAGCCAGGATGCGTCCTACCGATCCCTAAGTTCGCGCGATCGATCGGACGGCCGTGAAAATTCGAAATTTAGCATAGCGTCAGGTGCCGGTAAACAATACCGGAGAGGATTTTGCCAGCTGGCCCCCCGCTGCGAACTCGGCGGACCGCCGGGGCGGTTCGAAGCGGTTACTATCGAATCTCGAGCCTTCCGGCGGGCCGCCGTCCCGGGCAGCAGTCCAGTCTAGACGCGAGACATACTTAGGGAGAGAGAGAGGCCGGAAGGATGAGCAAAGATGGTCGGATATAGGCAGTGTCAGTCGAGCTCCCAGTTGGTTCACGAGGGGCAGCCTTCGTGCATGCGGATGCATGCTGGGGGGGTTTCGACCATGGCAGCCCCTACTGAGCAGTACCAGGCTTCGGATCTAGCTCACATTGGACACGGTTTGTACTATATAGGCGAGGACAGCGTCCGACCTTCCGAGATAAGCCGGATTTCGGGCAGGTGCATCACCTGCAGGCAACAGATTTGGAAGGGCACAGGCAGTATAGACGGGGTGTTGAGGCTGAGCTTCCGCAAGAGTGCAATGAAGGGCTACCTAGTGAGCTGCGGTGTGCCCAAAAACAAACAGAGGAAGCAGATCATTTGCCTCGCGTGCGTGGGCAAGCTGATGGGGGAGCTGAGGGTCGGCGCTGATGCAAGCAGCTTGAGTTTGTGCGAGCGCGGGCATGACCAGCAGGATGGGGTGCTGTTCGAGAGGCTGCCCTCAGGCAGCTGGAAGCAGCAGCTGGCATTGACGGACGAGTTGCTGGAGGGGGCTGTGGCTGCGAACGAGAGCTCCGTCTCAAGAAAGAAGCCCAGAAAAGCTGCAGCAAATACGCTGAGGGGATTGCAAGCTGGAAAAAGACCGCGTGCAGAGCCGGTGAGTGCGCATGCCGTGCTTATTTTCTTCTTAGGTTCTATGTGCAAAACGACCAGAT